TATATAACACAACAAAGACTTATAGGTCTGAAATGAGATAGACTTTCTGGTTGTGCAGTTTTTGGAATCAAAGAAAGGATGGTGTGATTCCAGTATCTCAAGATAGCCCCTGTCTGGAAGAAGCTGAGAATGGCTTCAAATACATCCACTCTAGTCAGATCCCAAAAATGCTGGAAAAAGAGAGCATTCATTCCATCTTCTCCTGGAGACTTCTCAGGTGGCAGTGAAAATAAGGCTGCTTTCACTTCCTCTTCAGTAACTGGCCTCAGTAACCTTTGGTTCATTTCTGGAGTGATTGTCTGAGGAATAAGGTTGATTAGTGACTCACTATCCCTGCTGCCTTCTGAAGTGAATAAATCGGAATAGAATTCAGCAATGTGGTGTTGAATGTCCTCTGGAGTGGAAAGCACAGATCCACTAGGAGTTATCAACCTGGAGATTGCATTGAGCTTCCTTTTTTGAAGTGTATATGCATGGAAGAACTTGGTATTTCTATCCCCTTCCTTTAACCATTTCAGTTTTGATCTTTGTTGCCAGTGAAGCACTTCTTGTCTGTGAGCTTCATTTAACTGAGTCCTTGTTATGTTCCACTGGTCCCAATAATCTTCAGGTTTTCCTTCTCTCAGCACCTCAAGTTGTTTAGTGAGCAATTCAATGGTTTGCTGATTGTTGGTTTTGAATTTAGAACTCCAGATGAGAAGAGCTGCTCTTGTGTTTTTAACTTTTTCCTTAAGTTTAAAGAAAGGTGTGCCTGAGGTGGGTTGATTCCAGGCTGATGTCACAGTTTCCAACAGTCCCTCCATGCTGAGCCATTTTTTTTCAAAGTGGAATCGAGCTGCTGATTTTGAATGAGTTATTCCTTTGGATAGTAGAAGCATAGAGTGATCTGATGCACTTCTTACTTTGTTAAGAACCAGGGCATTTGGGTGATCAAGCAGCCAATCTGGTGAGGCAAATGCTCTATCCAGTTTTTCCTCAACCATTCCTTCTTCTTCTCTGAGATTGCACCAAGTGAATTTATATCCCTGCAATGGTAACTCTTGCATTTCCATATTATAAATAAAGGAGTTAAAGCCTAAGAGACTTCTATCACTCCTTGGAATGCCACCAGATTTATCTTCCTTTACACAAATATCATTCCAGTCCCCCAAAGCAAACCATTTATCACCCCAAGAAACTTTGTCATTGATCAACTCATTCCATTGCTGAATTCTGGTTTGTTTGCAGGTGCTCAAGTAAACAAAAATTCCCCATTGAGAAGGGGCAGAGTCTAACTCAAATTCAACAGCAATATAAAATGATTTTTGCATAATATTAATAATATTTACATTAGAGTCCCACAGTAAAAACAAGCCCCCACTAAGACCCACAGGATCAACAAAAGAAAACCTGTCTACATATCCCAACTTCCTAGCTACAGACTTGACAAAACCATTATTTTTTTTTGTTTCAGACAGAAAGAAAAAAGTAGGGTGGTGAGCCTTGATGGTCTCTCTGATTTGGGAAATTGTAGAGGGCCCACCCAGCCCTCTACAATTCCACACCGCAGCTAACATTTGGAATTTGGGTGCCATTCGAGGCTGGCATCCTCCACCTTTCCTTGTGAACCTTTGACTTTTTTGCTGGATGAAGAGGCTAGAAGCTCTTGATTGTTGACTTGAGATGAGGGGGGAGAGTCTTTTCTTGTTCTCTTGTTACTGTGGTTATCTTGGATCACCAACATTTGGTCATGGTCATCTTTTCTTTGAAGCCTTCCTTCTCTGCTCAATGATCTCTTCCAAGTTTTCTGTATCTGACTAGCTGGTGTTTTTGAAGTTTTGAAGTAACTGTTCTGGATTTGAAGAGGAACTGAGGGAGTTATAACTGCCATTTCCATGTCCATTGCCTTGTTCTGGGGAATTTCTTCATGCCCTGTGTGAAAGAGGTGAGAGTGAGATGCTGCAGCAATTTTTTCCACTGTGTTAGTTTGGGTTGCTGCTTCTTCTTGGACAGAATTTGAGGCTTCCTTGTCAGTTGGAGTTTCTGCTGAGGGATGAGAATAGTCTCCATGAACTTGGACTAGTTGCTTTCCTTTGTCCCCCAAACTAGATGTGTTTCTTGAAGGAGAAGATTGGTCAGGAACTTGCCCAGATGACTGAGCATTCCTGGAGTGAGATAGACCAACTTCTATCCAGTTTTGACCTTCCACAGCTTTTAACCAATCACCGTACTGCCCTTCTTTAACTGTTTTGGATTTGATTGCAGCTATTCTTCGAGTGCAACCTCTATCTAAATGCCCCAAGAGACCGCAGTAATAACACAAATTGTGCAGTTTTTCATATCTGAATCCTACACTTATTATTTGATCTTCCAGTTTAATATTGGTGCACCTCGGGAGAGGTTCATTAATGTCCAATGAAACCAGAAGCCTAATAATTCTGCCTCCATGACTTCCTGAACTAGCTATAACAACATTTTGAACTGACTTGAAAATGTGCCCTATTTTCATTCCAACTTCAGTACTCAAGCAATTGATTGGTAGATTCCATACCTGAACCCACATTGTGATTTCTTGAAATGCCGGGTGGTTGCTATTCAATCCTTTCTCCCATTCTTTTAAGATTAAATGCTGGTTTTCAAAGCTCCAACTTATTCCATCCCCAACTTTGCGCATATCATCTCTGCTTTGAAATACGAATTGGAAGAAGTTATATCCCAGCTCTTTTACCTCCATTTGTTGCTGCAGTCTCCATATGTGACTCATAGCTCGCTTGATTCCTATCCAGCTGGCTTTACGTTCTCCGATAACTTTCCCAAATAGGCTCCTTTCACACTCATCTGCACATAGCTTGATATCTTCACGCTCAATGCCGGTAATCAAGCTTTCCTTTTCAGATAACGAGAAGCTCTTGATTCTTTCCGCTAGGTCCTCATCATGCCCGATACAACGCGATTCGGCCATAATTAGGGTTCCAAAACTTCTGCGAACAAGAAATAATATAGAAGATCTAGAATGGAATGAAAATTGTTACTGTAACCACGATCTGAGAGTAAGATGAACGAGAAATGCTCCCAACTGAGAGAATCGCCAAACCGCTCCCAAACGAGAGAATTACTTTTAGGTGTTCAATTCCAATCTCAGAAACCCATTTATTTTGGTTGCTTTTTGACTAACAGGTCTGACAAAACGTGCGCAGAAAATAAGGAAGAAAGAGTATGCAGGGCCATCAGATGTAAAAAGAGGGCAAAATCAGGGTATTTTGGTCAGAATAAAATCGCCACGTGTCAACACTAAAATCACTCATACTTTTACTTATATGTAAGACTAGTTGGGTCACGCCGTGCACGCACGACGTACTCAAATTTAGTCTATAAATACAGTGAAAATTTTTCATTATTTGTGATGATCAATGAAGTTCATGTCCATTTTTTACACTTGTTGTTAACAAAATAAATTTTCACCATAAAGGCAAGCCCATCCCCACCATAAAAAGATAACCCAAAAAAAAAAAAGTTTGGAATACATTGGTACAGGATTTTTGTATAACCGTAGAAAATCTGTAATGGGTGAGACATCGAGTGTTTTTCTTGATTTTTGCTGAGGTATCTCTCTATTCCTCTACCTCTCTCTCACTCTCTCTCTAAACAGCAACGAAAAAGGCCTCAACTTAGATTCAGTGTAGTAAATTATTTTTGTGTTAGTCTAAAATTTGCACAATTTAAATCAATAACAACAAAGCAGTTAACGGTAGAGAAGAACATAAGCCATGAATTCACTACAATATTTTTATAATCACACTACACCCGTTTACACACACCAACTGAATGCATAAGGGTAGGACCATATCAAAGTAATTCAAAAGCCAACACAATATGACAATCACAACCATAGGTTTCTATTACAATACAAAGCATGACACAAAATACAACCTCAATCTGAAGAAAAAATTCGTCATATAACCCACCTTTAATTCACAGAGAAAAGAGATGATAAGTCCTCTCGGCTCACACAGACAATCTCTAAAAAAATCACCGTACTTGTCATTACAAGAGCCTGAATACATGCAACACCTCCTCACCAATTCGACAATAATTATTTATGCAGACAAATTTAAGCATAATTTCTTACCAAGAAAATAAAATTCAATAATAAAAGTTAATACCAACCCAATAATTATAAGACATATATGCTGTAAAGATTTTTTGAATAGAGAGAGAGAAAAAAAACACGAACTCAATAATTATAAGACATATAAGACATATATTTTAAAATATCAATAAAGTAAATAACTTAAAATTTAAATTAACTAAATTTATGAAATATTATATATATATATATATATATATATCAATAAAATAACGGTCTAACCGGTTCAACCACTGGTCGGACCAGTGAACCATTGAACCAGTAGCTTGACCGGTTCAATGACCGGTCCAGTTTTCAAAACATTGATAAATACACACATGTTTTAAACCCTTAATCCATAAAAAGAATAAATAAATAAAATTATGAACATGAGCATGAATTAAAGTACTCATAAATATACAAGAATTATTAAATTATTCAAAATGATCAATTGACCGACGATCCTTGTTGTTGTTGCAAAATTGTTCTATTTTTTTACCTTGCACGCTTGCCTCCGCTGTGTTGTGCACTCTTGAATTGAGTGTTTTTTTTTTGTGTTAATTAGAGTAGTTTTATTAGTTTTATTAATAAAAAAATAATATAGTATAATACAATAAAAGGTGGAAGTTAAATGAGTTTTTTTATGAATTATTTTCTATATATTTTTCTAATTGGCCTTGGCTTGTCCTAGTCCACATAATCTCAATCAATATATCCTTAGTTAATTGGTTAATGAGAATAATGATAATTAAATATACTTAATCTAATATATTACATATATATATTTAAGTAAAAAAAATCAAAAGTTTTGGGGGGACCGTGGCCCCCCTAGGTATGCGATGGTCGGAAATGAGCGTGGATGGAGCTCTTTTCATGGAGTATTATCGTGAAGAAGATGAGAACAGTGAATGTCAAGTCCGAAAAATTACCTTTCTGCCCCTCACTTTCAATGTTGGACTTAAAATGCTTAGTAGGCTGAATTGTTGATCCATTAGAACAAATAAAATGGGCCTGATAAATATTTCTTGTGGGCTGTGTAATTGGGCTCTTCCCAATACATGGTTCGCACTCCTTTTATGTCCGTTTCACGCCATTTTCGATTCCAAAAATTATTTCGACTATATTTACTGTTAAAACTTAAAATAACACACTTCATCATAGCCTCATAAAAATAATTAAATAATAATTAATTAAATATTAAACTACATCAAAATAAGCACAAAAATTACTCTAAAATTCATGTTAAATTGACTCCTGTCATTTGCCACACTTGCTTTTCCCTCATGCAAAAAAAGCATAGTATGTTCAATGCACTCCTCCTCCTCTCCACATGACTGACAGATTATATCCATTGGCATCCCTCTACTTCTCAGTGCTTACTGGAAGAATATCATTATAACACTTCTATAGGAAGTGCTTTAGTTTCCCTTTAACTCTCAACTTCCGGGTTCTTTTTCTGACTTTCTTGTTCCATTCTACACATCACTGCTTTTTGCCTAGTCTAAGTCCCTTAATTTCTTTTCATCATCACAGAATAGACATTGGCTACAAAAAAAAGACCCTTTTCATCATAAGTCCAAGTCCATCTATCAGGTAAAGTTGGATCCAGTGACTTGATTTGCTTGATGTGATTCATGTTCTCTTCATTAAACATTGCTAACGCTTCTTCCTTCCAACATTTTCCCTCATCCTCTAGGAGTTCTCCCACCCAAGTCATTGCACTCTCACACTCTGTTGAGTACTGGAATCCCTGATTTTGAATAAGGAATCCCAAGGTCATTCCATTTCTTTGTTGACCATCCGTCTATTATTTGCATTATGAATCCCTCCAGAAACTTGTCCCTGACTCTTAGCCAATTATTCCAAAACCAAGATGCTCCAGAGGTGATCCTTGCTTGAAATAGAGTCATGAGAAAGTCTTCCTTTTATAACTTGACTCATTAACAAATTAGGCTTAGTGGCCACCCTCCAGATTTGCTTCAATGTTACGGCTTCATTAAACTTGCCTAAGTCATGAAGATCCCAATCCACCATCAACTTTAGGAACTGTCACAGAAGTCCAAGCTTTCCCCTTTACTCCACCAAAATCTTGCACGTAACTTAGATATTTCCTTGCGAACTCTATTTGGGAGGCAGAAGCAAAAACATAATAAAGATAGTTACTTAACAATAAGTTAGTTCTTGCTACTCAACATACGAAAATTTAAAATACTTTTTAGTAACATTGCAAGGACTGAGGTGTTCGCGTTCGAAATCAATTTCGTTGCAGTAACTTGTTTCTTGTAAGTAGATTTTCTTTTGAAATATAGAGGGGTCACATTGTTTTAGAATATCCAATTAAATATTGTAATCAATAGGTTTCATGATGCAACCTTTTATGTGATGCGCCATTTTTTGGTTCTACAAACTCTAGCAGTGTTGCCAATGTTTCTTTTGAAGCAGTAATGATTTTGAAGTAGTATTATGACTTGTGGTTGTTAAGGTATCTTCAAACATGGTTTTAACATATGACAATTTCAACACATTAGGTATCACTATGAAATCCTTTATCCGGCTATACTTTTGCTAAATTGTTTGAAATGTGTTTTATAATGAGTTGATTTAGTTAGGGGTTGTGCCGTCAAACATTAAAAGATGAACCCGTTTAATGCAAATTGATATGGCTCTTATTAGTAGTTAGCTCTAACAAGTTGTATCGCAACATAGAATTCTTGTTTGTACGTAGAAAAACATGCCTTTGGTCCTAATTCCATTGCCAATATGTTGCCAATTGAAAGTTATTATTGTTAAAAAACCATCGAAATATTCGTCATATGCAGTAGATGCATAGTAGTAAAGATGGAGGGGCAGAATTAAACGTTCATTTGGGATTTTCACGTAATGATGCATAATATTTTACATAGTTCGACAAAAATATTAGACTACTGAACTTTGCATAAGAGATTAGAAAATGACATTTATATGCGGATTAATGAAGCACTTGACATCTCTGGATTCCCGTTGTAATTAATCTCTACAAAGAAACCCCCGCCTTCGCCTCGGGAAAGTCTTCCAGGGTTCACACAGATGCACTTGAGTTCTGCATCATCTCCACCTCCAACGGTGAGAACCTATTTCATAAGATTTAACCAAACGTGTTTTGTTACCAATTTTTTTTTAATTCGACAAACATTTTAAGCATTAATATCTTATGGAAAAACTAATTTAGTTATTAACCTTCACAAACGGAGCCAAGTCTGAAGGTAAAATGAGTATATCTGGAATCAAAGAGAATCTGAGTGCTTTCTCCGCGAAAGAAAAATCCAAAGGAACTTCTTTTGCAGGTGGATACAGTGGGTAGAAGCTGAAATAGTGACAAAACTTAGAGAGAGAAGAACATAATACATGAAAACAAATCCTTCTTTTGTTGGTATTATCTAATGTACCTTTGCTGGCTCAATATATGCTTTGCTAGATTAGCCAGTCGCTGTTTAGATTCTCCTGGTGGATTCCGAAAAATTTCCTCTGCACTAAGATGTTTTAATATGTCCACTGTGCAGCAAGCCACATTTACCTGTAGATCGAGAAAATTAATAGTCAACTCAATTATCTTAATCTAAGTAATTTCAAAAAGTGGTTCCATCACCAGATTGTTGCGTTCTTAAGCAGAATCAGACAGCTGTAGAGGTCATGGAACAACAAAAGTTACCATCTTTTGGGCCATCATTGGCAAGTTATACTTGGAAAATTGGAAATTTTACTTGGACCTATTTCTCATTAATATAACCTTCACAATCTCCCAATAATCATGTTTTTGTAGTGTTTGGAAGTTAGCAACTGTAAGCATATCCACTCATGGAGGAACTGTTATTGTTACCTCATTAGCGCAGAACACTCCTGGGTTACAGATGCTGACTACCTGTTTATAACAAAAAAATCTAATCATGTGAATAGGCAACTTGCCATCCATACAGACATTGCTACTATCATATAACATCTGTACCTGATGACTAGAATATGTAGGATGGATCTCAAAAGCAGGCTGTCAAAATAGCAAAATATCAGTGTTATAGCAGATCACGTTATTCCTAGTGAGAAAAAGTCGGCATTCAATTTAACACAGAATACCAAAATATGAACCTGAGGGAAAACAAAGTCATGATGTGCATCCCTGATGGATGGCATAAGAATCACGCGCGCTACAGAACCCATGCACTCAACATAATCTTGAAGCTATAAATAATTAGAAAAACAAAAAAAAAAAAAACAAAAAACAAAAACAAAAACAGGTAAGATTAAGCTGAATATGTCAATGCAACTAACTTATATCTTTTAATTATCACCTTTTCAAGGATCTGAAGGTGAAACATTTCATCAAAGGTCTGATCAACAAATCCTTTGCTAAGCACTGGATGATCAGAATCAATAAATGGCCCTAGCTGTCAAACGACAAATCCAAGAAAGACAGTATGACTTTGGCCTTTTTATCTGTTTCTACAGGCAGCAAATGGAAGCAATTATTAATACATAGTAAGGAGGTCCTCACCAGGACAAGCAACTGAGGTTGCTTTCGGCGTGCATAGGCTAAAAGCTCAGTTAGAGGCTCAAATAACAAATTATCGCTTGTAGTAAATGGACCCGCAGCAACAATCTGCTTGAAACCCACGTCGCCAATAAGAATCACTTGGGTTCTCATGTTTGAGCAGCAAGTAAATAATCTCGACCATGTAAAATCATAATTCAGTAACAGCAGTGCAGCAAGATAATCTCATGTTTGAGCAGCAAGTAAGTAATCTCAACCATGTAAAGTCATAATTCGGTAACAGCGCAGCAAGAAAATCTCATCCAACTTCGAGTTTCATATAAATTTCAACTCTTGTATGTATTAAGAGTAGAAGAAAAATAGTCTCCCTCAACCTGGCCACACCATCAATCTAGCATGTAGGTGAAACTCATTCAGCTTAATCAGATACACAATGCTAATAGCTCCAAGAGGTTTAGTTCACTTTTGGTGAAAATTGCTGCTAATTAAAAATGCACATAAGCAGTCCCTTCATGCTCCAGCCGTAAAATTATCTAACGAATTACGCCGTCGATATATTTGAAATAAATTAGCTTACACTACCTGCAACTAATTGTCACATTCTTAAAATTTAAGGTTCTAGCATAATGAAAGGACACAGTGTATTATCATTAACCATCCTAGTCATGTAATAAACTCTAGTTTTGTGGACTAGGAAATGAAAACCGTAATTCACAAATCGATTCATGGTGCAGCATCAAGCTTACATACCAACGACAACTCCGCCATATTGTGCGAGGGATTGGTTAACTGATGATTGTGATCCAAAGCTTGTCTTTTGGTAGAGTATGGAGGAGTAACAGAAAATGGCACATAATCGATAATCTTTGATGCAATGAGACGATGACCACTAGGATTATGCCCTTCGACAGCCACTACCTGAAATGTACAAAAACTTATTCTTATACTGTGAATAAAACATAGTTATGATGAAATTTACTTCCTACAAAATCTTCATTCTAACCTGGCCTGGGAAAATAGAAAATTGATCTAACTTTTGCAAGTCAAGACGAACACGCTGCCCTCCAGAATGCTCAACACTGCCAAAACCATCAAAACCATGTGTGTTAAAATGAACGCGGATACTAAGAGATGGCGCAAGAACTGTTAAGCACTATGGTAACTTCTCCTGTTATTTTGGCTACTGAAAATAGTTCTCATGTTGGTTGGATACATAAAGGTTATTAATAGATTGAAAAAGAACATTGAGTCCAGCCAACAAGTCCAACTAAATAAATGTCACAATTCTCCCCTATGTATAATTCTCAAATGGCTGAACCTAAGTGGTAGACTAGCATGCTTCGGAATCTTATGGCGCAACATATCATGCTTTGAAATACGGATCAGATAAAACATTCCAAGGCTTGGACATAAGTTTAAATAATTTTATTAACGAGATACAAAACAGCTTCAATCTCTCTTTTGCCATTCACCCCTCCCTTCAATCTCTCTCCTCACAAATTCAGCAAACCAACCCATGCCCTTTTCTGCAAACTATCTCTCCTTTTCCCTCTTTTTGGGAAAATTGGTATGAAAATAACAGGATTTCGGAACAAAATCCATCCAAGAAATAAGCCTTTTTGGTATGAAATTCTCGAATCCATATTTATAGAAGAGAGAAGTAGGATATTTCTCCTTCAATTATACCCTTAATTCGACGTACATGCATTCATATTTTTTCATTTAAGATACATCTTTGATACGGATTCGAGAATCAATAAATGGCCCTAGCTGTCAAAAGACGAATCCAAGTAAGACAGTATGGGATTTCTATCTGTTTCTATAGGCAGCAAATGGAAGCAATTATTAATACATAGTATGGAGGTCCTCACTAGGTCAAGCAACTGAGGTTGTTTTCGGCATGCATGGGCTAAAAGCTCAAATAGAGGCTGAAATAACAAACTTCACTTGTAGCGGCAGGCCAAATTTCACCGTAACGGCCGCATAGCGGCCTATGGCGCCGCCACAACCACCATCCTTCACAAATTTAGCGTGGCGGTTTGTCAAAAATCCGCCACGCCATATGACCATGTCCGCCATTTGGCAACACCGATATACATACGCTGATGGGACATTTCTTTAGCTCTTAAGATTTCACTCACATGGAATCTCATGCTGAGGATTTATATTTTAAGTTAGTGGATTTTTTTTTTTTTTTTTGGCTATCAATCTATGTTGTATTTGAGTTACTGGAATATTTATGATTTTGCGAGAATATAGTCAATATTTGGAGCTACACCTCAATGAATGCATCAAAGTTGCTATTTCACTGGCTAATTTCCATTTGTTGTTTTAAATTACACATTACAGATGAAATATTGTGTGCTCGAATTGAATAGTTTTGTCGTGATAGTTGCCGAACCAAAATTCAGCACGAGGTTTAGTTAGTTTATCTAGCAAAACTTAACTTTTACCTATTTGTTTGCAGTTATATGTGAATCTCAATTATAAATGTTGCTTATGAACTTGATTGACCTCTGCTCATATGCCTTAACTAGGATGCCCTGGGCGTCTATCTGTGTGCGTATGTAGTAGTGGTGATTGCCTATTTATCATGTTTTGTTTTTTCTTAAATGTTCTTTTAACAGTATGATTGGTTGTTTGGGTTCAGTCTATATTAGCACGAGTGTTTTCTTGAAAATCAACCACGTTCTGCTTGTGGATAAATTGTGGAAATTCGTGAGATGACAGACAAGAAACGTAATTTAAAGGTCAACTAATGTGCTAATTCATGTTCTCACTTGAACGTAGTGTCACCTAGGTAAATATGTAAATAGGTGTTGAACATGATGTCACCTATGTGCTAACTCTACATTACAACAGTATTTTTATTTTGCTATATAATTCTTTTTAATTTCACAATAAAATACCAATTCTTTTACTTTTTACAATTGTTTTTTTTTTTTTAATATAAAGCACGGGGTAGTACAAGGGTGGTAGTGTTAGTTATATCCATCAGGGTCAACATTAGCCATTTCAGAGAAGCTGATGAAACTGCTTCTGAGGCTGCATAAGATAAAATAATACAAGTTTCGCCGGTTGAATTCCTTTGAACATTTTTTATCGCCTAACCAGCTGCTAATCCCTAGAAAACAAATTTCAAGCAAGCAAGGCATGATGAACATGCACAACAAGAGCCTTTACCTGCTTTGCAGCAATACAGGCTTATCCTTCAGACGACCTTCTTCTTCACAACAGATCATACCAACAGAAAACACGCTTTTCTGAAACGGTGCCATTTATTAAATGGAGAAAAATCATGTCAAACTTGAATTCAATCTAGAGACACTTAAATAAGACAATTGAAAGCATCACATGTCCTTGCTTAGGTGTAGTAGCTGAGTTACCTGAGAAGCTACAGAAGGATCAACTGGTTCCTCATACTTCCCTGAAGATACATAAGCAGATGCCCTCCTTTTGATGCAACTTTCCAGGTAGTTGAACTGAATCACATCGAAACCAGTAAGTCCTCTTATAAAGATAAAGTTACTATGGCAATAAAGGAAAATATCAATACCTTGTCTTCCAGTCTATCAAACATGAACCTGCAACCTTGCTCTGGCTGAGATGTGTTTATTCGCAAGTGACATCTTTTGCTGGGTTGAAGTCTCGCGATGATATCATCATCAGAATTCTCATTATGCTCTTTAACTTTAATGCTCTCTGTGCTAGGTTGTTGATTAAGCATTGTTTGTATGATGAACTTGTTCTTTCTTAACCCAAAGGCTGTCACTGAATCTAGAGATTTTTCTGAATTTAATTTGCTTCCATTTGATTTCTTTAATGAATCTGAGGGCATCTCATGATATTTGTGTTTATCTGCAGGAGTATCAAGTATGACTTCTTTGTCTTCATAGTTACCATCCAATATCCTGTTTGAAATTGCAGATTCGTTGTGACTTCATTCATAAAATGGAGTTCTAAGGAGATAGAAAAAACTTGGAGAAAGAAGCTTAAGGGTGTACAGGTCGGTCAGACTTTTCTTTCAAATAAAGCAATACTTGCAGTCTTTGAAAATGACAATTCGAAGAAATTTACAGCAGTAGTAGTTTTAATTGAATTATTGATCGATCCACCAATTATCAGCACTATTAGATACATATGAAGACTAAATAAACACTTTAATGATTAGAGTAAACATATGATCAACTTCTAAATAGTAAATAGAGGTACATGGCAAAGCAGGTAGTTGCAGTAAAGCATGTAAACTGAGCCTCATCCCAACTTCAGAAATTTATATAGTTCAAATTCAGAGAGACCGAACTTCAGAAGTTCAAATAGTTCAAATTCACTGAAGCCAAACTTTCAGAAATTCATGTAGTTCAAACTCAGAGTGGACCCTGGAAACTGTAAAAAGGACAACTCACATGGCTACATCTTTGGAGTACAAATGCAGACCGGAGTCTTTTCCTCTGACTTTATCAATCTGGTCACTCTGCAGTTGTTCTAACAATGCACCCATATGCGAGCTCTGCACGGTCAAATCCAGCTTCCTGTAGAAATAGAAAATCATAATGGCAAACACAGATTATATCCGGATTCAATGTAATAATTAATTAAAAAAAAGAGTTCAAAAAATGGAACTTAATTTAAAAAGTAAGTAAGTTCTTTCATATTAAAAAATGGAACTCAACGAGCTCTACTCCTATGAGACACCTACCAAAATAATATTGACAGGAAAGATACTTCATGAGACCCTAACAATTGAAATCATGTGAGATTTTAAACAGTGAAGACACATTTGCAGAAACAAGACTTGGTATCCTAACAACTGAAATCATCTAACATACTTGACACAATGCTTCAAAGAGTGTGTAAGCCCGCTCAAATGCTGTCATAAACTACTTAACGAACTTCAACAGAAATCTCTATTAAAATTAACTGAATAAACCTTCTAAAACTATCTGAATCACACTGCCGAAAATGAAACTAATCTGAAACGAGTTGAGAAAATGTAGTTGGTCAAGGATTCCTTAGTTTCTTGCATTACAATTGGTGAACATAAAGCAATCAGCAAAATGAAAAACATTCTAACCAGTTGAGCGAGTACGCCTCCCAGCTGGACACAAGATCTGAAGCACTGAGCTTGTACTGTATGCAAAATGCCTGACCTGATATTCAGAAATTCGCAGAGCAGAAGCGGCGTTAGAAATTTGGGGACCGTTTCCAATCACCAAAAGGCGGAAATGACATGAAATAACTCACATTGCGAGATAATTTTCTCCTCATCATCCAAGATGAAGCCGTTCCTCGCGAACTCTGCTTTGATTTCGTCGTCCATTCTTGCGATCTGGAGCGGTCAATTTCGATTACCAACTGTGACCAGCGCAGGAAAAAATGGCGGGAAAGATTTGCTCCCATTAATGATTAAATAGACCGTATCGATTTAGGGTTTTCTCAGTTTGCTTCCGCTACGCGGGAATGAATCTATATATATATATACTAGCAATTTAACGGCTGTGGCTAACACAGCCGGCCCACCTTATTAAGATAATTTGTTGTTAATGAAAAAATAAATTATCACTAACTTAACAGTTTAAAATGTGTTGAATAAAAGTTGTTTTGTTATTTAATGTGTAGGTTGTTATATTATTCATATGTATTTGTGTATTATATTGTTCCNTGCAGATTTTAGGTTAATAAATATTTTATTGCTACTGAGCTATTGTTTAAATTAATGATTAGGAATATTAGACAGGTGACATGTTGTTTTTGGGTTGAAATATAATTATCAATATAAATGTTAATAATAGCTTTATGTGTATAATCTGTTTATGTAGAAAGTATTATCTTTTCACATAAATGCTATAATTAAAGATGATGGTAAAAAAGCAAAACAGTAAGAATGATAGCATATTCATATAATTTTTTGATTGAATTGATGCCTGAATGAGATAGATTAAGTGAGATAATGATACATAGATTATGTTATTTTGTCCAGGTAATATAATAATTAATATGAACTTAACATTAAGAGAAGCGAGTTATTATTGTTGAAATCAAACTTATTACAAAAAACCATGGATGCATATATTTATCTGGAAAGGTTGTCTAACACATACAAAATAAGAGTTGCAATTACATATGGCAATAATGCTAATATTAATTTTACTAAGCTTGAACAAGCATCCATGCTTAATAAGGTATAATATAAGCATCAACAAAAAAGGTTTGGTGTAGATTATTTACATCACAATTAATATGTTAGGGTGAGCTGATGAGATAGCAAAAAGTCCAGAGTTATATGTTAGGGTGAGCAGCCTGCTAAGGATACCAAAATATGTTGGTTACTTAGATGTTAAAAGTTGTTCTTGTGGCGTTTCTTTAAACTGTCAGCTTCTTGAACATTTTGAGAATCGTCGGGTAATTCATGTTCAGTGCTTGTATTGGCTGGTGTTGCATCCTGGAATTTGAGTGATCGTTTGACTGAGCCTGTTTTTTCAATTGACATCTTGATGGTGGAAGAAGATTCATCTGGTGATTCATTAAGCATAGAGAGCACTTTATGGCTTGTTGGTGTGAATTGCTGCTCATGAACCAAATTTTGTAACAGATAAAAAATGAAAAAAATTCAAACCAATTAATAATCAATTGATAGGACAATTATAAAAACATAGCCACCTTATGATAAACTCTATATGTTACCTGATTGTCATCTTCATCGTCATTTGCATACAAAACAACGATAGTAAACCTTGATTCATCCCTGTCCTGGTAATCAGAGATATTATGCCTAACAAAGCATGTTATGGTCTTGCTTTGGAAGTTGCTTTCCACATCCACACAATTTTTTGCCTATGGAGGAAAAAAATGTTTAATTTGTGTACTCATAAAGGCTTATATTAGCTATTATTATTTCAGGAAAACTATGGATATGACATTAAATAACATAATTTCTAGATAAACTCATTTCAGCTGCTGTTATGGGGATTAGAACTTCAGCCTCAGGTCTGCTGGCAGCAGCATGTAGGACTCCAGTCTTATCTTCGATACCAATTGTAAACTTGCATCCATGATATGTAATTCACAATATTATGATTATGATTTGAAGATTTTTTTTTTTTTTTTTTATTTAGAAAGTAAACTTTTTAATTATTACCTGGGTTGCACTTCACCTTCTTCCTTGCATTGGGTGCATGTATCCAACCTAATTGTGCTTGCAACACTTTGTTACAATTCGGGCAAGAGTGGACCAGTAAGAAGATTGACCTGGCACAAGCACAATTTTTCCTCGTGTCCATGTTGTTTTGATCTTCATATGCGATTAAAAGAAAGAATTTGAAATTTTAGTTCATTATAAATGTTTAGTTGAGTTTAAATGTTTGTGTACATACGAATTGTCATAATTTCTAATTAATTTGGAGATGGCAAAAGAAAGTTAGGATCCGCATACACATTCTTTTCCAACAGGGCAGTCACTTCTTCTTTGTGATCTATGTACCTGTTTTTTTGTTGTGTTAGCATATTCAAAATGTATGCATAGTTATAAGAAACATATTAGGCAATGGGAAGAGACAGGCCAAATAAGTAATCGTCGATACGATAGGTTGATTAACGCTTACCAGTCATTATAGGCATAAAACTTTTGTATACCATCGTTTTAAAAAATGGGTGCTTGAGGAACTGGTGGGTTGACCATTATGCCACTCACAAATGTTGTTGTCAGTGAAAGCACTGGGCATTCGAAAAACGTAAGTTATGAGACATCAAATAATTAATGAATAGTTTATAGAATTTATAATAAATAATCTACATATAAAATTAAATATTGTCAGTGAAGAGAAGAACTTACAGTTGAAAGTAGTTACTTTCATCCTCATGGCTATTATGGTATTACCGGTCGGAATTGTAGCAGCTAATTGTGCACCTTCATTTTTTGCAAACTCATTCCAAAGAGTTAATATCATCGGCCTATTTCTGAATTATATATAGCAAGGATCAAATTATGTATATCATTCTTTATGAGCATACAAAAAAAGTCTTATGATGGTAATAATAATTTTTTATAATCATTATAGAAAAAATTGTATTCTTTTAAATACACACTTACTCTTCATTGACAATCACAAGATCCCCAGTGTTTGATTTAGCATAAACCAGGCAAGGAGCTAGATTTTTAATTTTTATAATATATAATCCCAAAATAATAAATATAAATTGTGTAGTTTTACAAAAATAATCCATAAATGAAGATGTTTATTAATTAGTCTTTTTTTTTTTCTTGTTCTCTCATATTAAAATTTTCTTATTACAGTGTTTTATTTATCTGTTGTATCTTTGTATAAATCTATCAAAACATCATGCTACTATAATAATTTTTATGTTGAGAATTGTTGCCAATAGAAATTCATGTCAACAGTTTCCCAAATGCTATCTGGTGGGTCTACTTCTGGATCTGAAGAGAACCGGTGGTTTTGAGCTCAGATCTGCTTGAATTGCCTTTGAACTGTTGCGAAACCGCAACAACACATGCAAGAACTCAACGCCGGAAGTGTTTCCGGCGTAGAGCCTCCGATGCTCAAGTCAGTATGTGAGAGAGATGAAGAGAGGCTGCTCTGAGAGAGCAGCAACAGCTATGGAGGAGAGTATGGAATGAATGGAAGTTAGGGTTTAGGGTTACCTCACTTTCTTTATATAGGAGGAAACACCTACTTGAAGTACCCAAAATGCCCTGGTCGACTCACGTGAAAGGTTATGCCTCGGTCGATTCGTATCCCCTTGCTGCTGAGTCATCACAAGATTCCCTCTTATCCATTGGAGAATGCAGAGCCTCAAGTATGTTGCAAGTGTGATGAGTCGTCATCACGCTTTCGATCTCGAGGCATAAGAAGTCGACCTCGAGGACTGAGAGGTCGACTCATGATTGCATGAGGATTTGGAGGCTACGCTTTGTTATTCTTAAGTAGAAATCGACTTCTGGAACCGACTGCAGGAAGTCGACCTCGAGGAGTCGACTTACATGGATTTCGCCCCCCTTTCGTGGTTGTTCTGCTGAGGAGTCGACTTTGTAGAAGTCGACTCAAATATGTTGACGGGAGCATGTCGACATGTGGATGGTCTGAGTAATTACCCGGTTGAGTGGAGAGTTCTTAGGCCGGTATATGNCCCAAAAAAAAAAATTACTCTAAACGGTCTAGTTTAAGAGTAAATTTGGTGGTCGAGCATTACCTTTATTCGATTTTGAATAATGTCATCTTTTTCGACTCGTCATGTTGGAGACTCGTCTCGTCATCCACTGGGAGTGTTGTGATACTTCATAATTGCATTTTGGATAAGGCTGACATTTTGACCTTTTTTTTGTCATATTTCGAAATTTGAATCTGGACATATCGCGTCGCTTCAACTTTACCGCTTCGAATTCCGTGCCTTATCCGAACCGTCAGATCTTTCTTTGATCTGAGGGTCAGGGTTCATCTTCCTTTTGTATAAATACCCTTTCCTTTGGTTCACCAATCACTTTCTACCTTTTCTCAAACTCTCCTCCTCTAGCCTTCTCCGGTGCTCAAAAGGTTTTCGGCTCTCTCGGCGTTCAATTCTCCAGCGACTATCAAGTTCTTCGAGGTTTCTCCAATCTGCAATCATGTGTAAGCTTCTCCTCTCATCCTTTGCAAGTTGTTGCTTTTGCTTTTTGTTTCGATTTTTTTGGGTTTTTTCAAGTTTAGAGACCATAGGTGTTCTTCGTGTTCTTCAGATCTTTTTCTATGAATTGTGTTTGATCTTTAGTGTGCGAGTCTCCACTTTGGTTTTTTGTTTGCGTCTCATCTTGTATTGACTCGTTACAATGCCGATTTACATATTCTCTTGCTTTTTCGAGTCGACTTCTATTGACTTGGCTTTTTCGACCTTCTTAAGTCGGTTTCGGTATAAGCTCCTCGACACTCACCGTATTTCTCATTTGGATTGAAGGGGAGTCGAGTCGACTTAGCTTTGCTAAAGCTTTTCCGTTTTTTGATAGCCATTCCCCGCATCACTTCCTCTTTCTAGTTATCTTTTATTGGTTCTTACGGGTCGATTAGTTCGTTTGGTAGGGTGCGTCGACCTGCCTTCACACTTAGTTTACTCTTACTGACCTCGACTCTTTTCTTTTCTGAATTTTCTAGCTTCCACTTCTGACTCCTCCCCTGATAGCATCGAGCGCCTAATCGATGAGGGTCTTCAATCATCCGACTCAGTTCAAGTGGTCGGCTTTAAATTAGTCGACAAGCCACCAAATTCTCCTGACTCGGACGCGTCTTCCTTAGGTATCGATCGGGACGCGTATAATCAGGCGTGGATGTCAGGTGTTTTAATAGAGGATCTCGAGTCTTTACAAGCTAGAGCATCTCCTCGTCTTGACCTCATCCCTTGAGGTATTCCCCTTAGGATTTTAGATGTACCTGTGTATAGAAACAGTCCTTCTTCTTTGCCAATAATTGCTCCTCTCTTCGAGGCTCAAAATGTTGTATCTGTAGCATGTCCATTAGCTAAGTTAGCTGTTTTAAATCCTTTTTGCTATGCCTCTGCAGCCGAGGTTGAGGGTTTTAAGGTGTTCAGTGGACTTCCCTCCGACTGGAAGTTGGTCGTTCCTGGCCTCAATGACGACTTTGCTAGTCCTCCTCCTGGCTATTACGCCTTCTTCATCGACCAAGTAATGTTCGGCCTTCGCTTCCCGATCCAGCCTGAACTCTTGGCAATTAGAAACTTGTATAATGTCCTAATAAATCAATTCTCTCCTAACGCAATCCGCATTATGATTGGCTTTATCGTTGTTTCTAGGGCACAGGCGGTAAAAGTATATACGGACGTACATTCAAAGATGAAAACTTTAAGTGTGAGTTTTGCTTTTACTAATCTTGTAATTGGGGAAGCTGACGTCTTCTGTTTATTAACTGTGAAGTTTCTGAATCTGCAGTGGTTCACACTGGACCTGGAGTTGTTAGCATAGCAAATGCTGGCCCCAATACCAATGGGAGCCAATTTTTCATCTGTACTGTCAAGGTATGTAGCAGTATGCAATACAGCTATCTTAGAGCATGCAAATAAATTTGCAGGGTGTAGGCACCAAAAATCGAAAATAAAGAAAATAAATTGGAATATCAATATGTAATTGTGCTTGGTTAAATCTAAGCATGCTTCATGCTTTTTTCCCAATCATGATTCTGTTTTTTTCTTTAAATTTCATGTAAATGATGCGAATAGCTGACGCTTTGTAACTTACAAATATTGAAAGTGTAGTGCAACAACAGACACGAAGAATTAATTAATGTTGAGTTATCTTCTTTTTGCAAATAGCCCCAGGAGTTTGTACTTGTTTGAGGATGAATTCAGATTATCTACTCTTTAGTAAGAATATCGAATAACATAGACTTGGGAATTAAAAAGAAAGGATAAGTTGGAAATGTTTCAGGTTTTCTGTGTTCTTTCCCTTTTCTCTTAATTCTTTTTTAAGGTTATATCAAGATGCTAAGATCTAGGGCTGAGAATGGGTTGGAACAGTTTGAGATCCAGATCCAAAAATCTTTGGAACCATCTTGAATTTGGAGATCTCCAAAATTGGATCTCTACAACCGAACCGGTGTGAAGAAATCTCCATCCCGAACTATCCCGAGGTTTGATTCAGGTCAACTTGGGTTAACTGGGACAGTTCGGTGCTGGCTGGAGATTTTTTTTTTCTTGTAAAATTTTGCCCCTTTCTAAAAAAATTAGTATATTCTTGTCATATATGGTTAAATTATGCATATAGATTTTGAAATAAAGAGAATAGTACTATTAAATATAAGATTTTCATGAAACTTCAATTATATTATTGGAATACATTGTTGAATTTATGCAAATGCTAAAATAATGATGTACAAAAGAAAGCATAAGATAACATATTGTATGCATACAACTTCATAAAAAAATAGTAATATTAAATATGAGATTTTCGTGAAACTTTAACTAACTATGTATTGTCATATGTTATTACAGTTATACAAAATTAAAATAATTATGTACAAAAGTAAGCATTAGATAAAATACTCTACACATATAAACTTTTGATTCATGAGACTTTAAGTATATTATATTATGGGCATACATTGTTGAATTTATATAAATGATAAAATATTTATGTAAAAAAAAAAAGCATACGATAACATATTATATGCATTTAATTTGTGGAAAAAATAATAGTGTTATTAAATATTAGATTCCATGAAACTTTAACCATGTTGTTGTCATATATAGTTAAATTTTTTTTACGTATATTAAAACAATTACTTACAAAATAAAAAATAACATAAAATATTTACAAATATAACTTCTGAATAAGAAGAACGATATTATTAAATTGAAGATTTTCATGAAACACTGACTATATTATTGACATACACTGTTGATTTATGCAAGGCGAAACTAATTTGTACAAAAAAATGCATAAGATGAAATGTTATACTCATATAAACTTATGAATATTTTGGAATTGATTCTTCGTTTAAATTTGGTTATTTTTTATTCAGTCTGATTCCGGCTTGGTTCTTGGTACGGATATTTTATAGATCTCTAAAACCATACCAAAAAAACTTTTGGTACGGTTTACGGAACGGTTCGATAATCTTCAAGTCTCGTGCTCAGTCCTAGCTAAGACCAACAATTCCTCCACCTTTCTCTAAGTTATTGTACACTACCAGGCTAATGATTATGAGGTTTACGATGATCACATTTGAGATTTTTGCCATTGAACCATGAGAGACAACTTGTAATCTTCTTTACTATATAATCCTTTTAGTTTATTTTTTCCCCTCTTGAAGTTTCTCATTCCCTGCCACTTTTTCTTTTTAATTTTTTTATTGTGCTGATATTTTGAACTTATTAGGCGTTGATATAGCCACATAAGGATAACCCGGTCTAGAAGCTTCTTACTCGACCGGCGAGCCACTCGAACGACTCGCACGTCGACATGACTCCGTCGACGTGACTCCGCCGGCATGACCAATCGACTTGCCCAGAGTCGACCCTATCAAGAGCAATCGAGGAGAGGCAGAAGTCGGTCTAGTCGACTCTACCAAGTCGACTTCCCTCTATCGACTTTTACTAGCCGACATCAATGGAAGAAGAACATCAAGAGCATAACTCCCAAGCATTCAGACAATCTAGGTCGACTTCCACTAGTCGACTTAGACGATGACGACCCTCTGAAGACGACTTCACTACATGGTCAAACCTAGCGTAGCCTCCGAATCCGCACATATCCACGAGTCGACTTCCTAGATCTCGAAGTCGACCTCGCATACCTCAAATAACAAAGATGTGATGACGACTCATCACACTTGCAACATACTTGAAGTTCCACATACTATGAAGAATAAGAAGGAATCCGTTGATGACTCAGCAACAAGGGGAGACGAATCGACAGGGGCATTTTGGACCTTCTAGGTCCACCGACTTGGGCATTCTGGGTACTTCAGGTAAATATTCACTCCTATATAAAGGAGGTGAGGTAACCCTAAAACCCCAACTCTCATTCATTCCCACTCTCCCCCATAGCTGCTGCGCAGCCTTTCTTCATCACTCACATACTGACTTGAGCGTCAGAGGCTCTGCGCCGGAAACACCTCCGGCGTTGAATTTTTGCAGGTATTCTTGCGGTCTAGCAACGGTTTTGAGACGGTTCAAGCAGATCTGAGCTCACAACCACCGGTTTACTTCAGATCTGGGAGTAGACCCATCATTTGGCGCCGTCTGTGGGGAGTTCTTAAAGGAAGGAAGAGCTTCACACCCAGCTCCGATCTGTTTGCCAATGGCGGAGAAGGAGAGCTTGCAGAGGAACCTGAGTGAGGAATTCAGAGGGACGTGGATGGACAAGAGGCCACCACCACTTCCCACCACCAAACACCCCGTAGTTCAGATGAAGGGAATGCCACCATTCGGAGGACCACCACCACCAGGACTGATGTTGGGCGGAGAAACGCCTGTCACCCCAACCGGCGTGAAGTTACAAGTGTTGACTCAGGTAGGGACAAGTCAAAACCCTAATCCAGGAGGGGAAAAGGAACCAACAGAGATGTCTCGACGTGAGGGAAAATAGATACAGGAGGTACCGGACCAAATCCAACCCTATGTCAAGGAGCAAACTTTGATGATGGCGAGAAGCGAGATGCAGAAGATGATCGCTGAGGCTGTAGCGGCTCAGATGAAGCAAATGGCACAGGTCGAGCAGCAGCCTCGGGTCGAGAACCAACCTCGAGTCGAGCAGCAGCCCCGTGTTGAATATCAGCCTCGAATCGAGCAACAAGCCCAGTCGAACGTGCAACAGAATAGGAGGGTGGACGAGGAAGAGTCCTCTATTCGAACTGTCAATCCACAAGCGAGGGATGAAACGTTAGAGCAATTATTAGCCCAAGTTCGCGATTTACAGGCTCGAGTCGATGGAAAGAAGAGCAGGGGAACAAAAGAGCACCCATTCTCGTTGCAGATCTTGAAAGCCGACTTACCCAAAGGCTTCAGAGAATTGAACATATGGTACGACGGCTCCACTGACCCGTCTCGACATTTGAGGAGTTTCGAAAATATGGCCGTGCTTCATCGCTACAGCGACCCAGTGCAATGTCGCGCTTTCTTGACGACTCTGACAGGGTCAGCTCAAGACTGGTTTCACCAACTTCCAGCGGGGTCGATTAGGGACTTTGATGGATTTAGCTCGAGTTTTCTTAACCAATTTGCAAGTGTGAGGGTGCAAGAGAAATCCTATCTCTCGTTGATAAGTATGCAGCAAAAGAAGGGAGAGTCGCTGTGAGAGTATGTGGCGAGGTTTACAAAGGCATGTGCCGAGTGCCCAACAGCGACAGAGGAAATCAAATCGGGAGGACTGACGAGAGGGCTACTGCCAGGGTTATGTAAGAACTCTTTGGCCAAGCGACCTGGTAGGAGTTTCGATGACGTGTTGGGAAGATGCGCCAAATATATGAATGTCGAGGAGGCCGAAGCCGATTATCTGCAAAATGTGAAAATACCCCAAGCTGACAGCCGAGACGATAAGAAGGAGAAGAAAAGCCAGTCGACAGGGGAAAGAGGGGGATCACCACGAGCTGACAAGGGTGAAGGACGATACAGAGGATGGAGGCCGACTCAATACACACCCCTGTCGGCTCCTCATGCAAGAATACTGGAAGTCATGGAAAGAGAGATCCGTGACGATGTGGTGAGATGGCCACGAACAAGGAAAGATGGACCAGTAAGGCCCAAGAGTAATTTATACTGTCGATTCCACAAAGATTACGGCCACGACACTGATGACTACAGACACCTTAAAGACGAAATCGAGAGGTTGATAAAGGCAGGACACTTGAAGGAGTTCATATATAAGGACCGTGAGAGGACGAGCAGGAGGAGAGAGAGAAGCAAAAACCCTCGCAAGGGGGAAAGATCACCAGAGAGAGAGGAGCTCCCACCAAAAAGGGGAGTAATTAATATGATCTTTGGAGGGTCAACAGACGGGGACTCGAACCGAGCAAGGAAAGCGTATGCTCGAGGTTGATATACAAAGGTCGAAGTGCAGCAAGTCGATGAATGCGGACCGGTAATGAACTTTGGACCTGCGGACGTTGGAGAAGTCGAGAGACCACACAATGATGCTCTAATGATAACCGTACAGATATCGGGATACGAGGTGCAAAGGGTGTTCGTCGACACCGGAAGTTCTGTAAACGTGATTTTCTATGAATGTCTCAGAAGGATGGAACTCGACATTGAACTTACGCCTCTACAAACATCACTCTTTGGATTTAACGGATCAGAAGTCGCTCCCCTAGGAGAAACAACGCTCGCCGTCGTCCTGGGGGAAGGCGACTTGAGAAAGGTAAAAATGGTGAAATTTGTCGTGGTCGACGTCGAGTCAACGTATAACGTAATCCTCGGGAGGCCGGCGCTCAATGCCTTCCAAGCGGTGGTGTCGACTTATCACATGAAATTGAAGTTTCCCGTTGGAGATCGAGTGGGAGAGGCTCGAGGGGACCAAGAATTGTCCAGAACATGCTATCGGATCGCGGTCAAAACTAACCAACGGGCTGAGATCAAGGAGGGCAAAAAACCAATGTCGAATGAAAAGAGGCCGAGAGAGAGTGACCTCGAGCCCATGGAGAGTTGATGGAAATTCGAATAGATGAAACGGAGGACCAGACGACCAAACTCGACAACTCCCACGATTTTACGCTTAAGGCAATGTCTCAAACTACCCTTTGTACTGAACGATGTTTGAATTGAATTCAATAATGGAATGAATCTTAAAGCTTATGCTTCAATTACGTTTTTTATATTTATGCGTCGAGTTTATTATGATTACATGAAAAATTGAATTTTTCAAAACGGCTATAAAGCTGGCTAACTCCAATGATTATGAAATTATTTAGCACAACTACGAAGTTGTAAACTCTCGAGCAGAATCTCGAGCAAGCTACGAAGCCTTCGACTACGAAGTCGATTCACGCAACAACGAAGTTGCAAACTCTCGAGCGGAATCCCGAGCAGGCTACGAAGCCTTCGACTACGAAGTCGATTCACGCAACTACGAAGTTGCAAACTCTCGAGTGGAATCTCGAGCAGGCTACGAAGCCTTCGACTACGAAGTCGA